AAGTTAATAAAAGTATTGATCAATTAGAGATGAGAATTTATCTGGAATGTTATTGGATTTTTTTTGTTACTATATTGTTTTTTATTCTTTTACAATTAATGTAAATTTTTATTTCTGATCATGTAAGTCAATATACCTTACAAATTTTTTTTTAATAAAGTTATAAAGAGTAAATTAATCAATTATCAAAATATAATAATTTTAAAAAATTTCCTATAAATTTTTAAAAATCATTTAATTATCATTTATAATGGAATTTCTAATGTTTTGTAACTTCAATTCTCATCGCCTATTACTATATAAATATAAGTTTTTTTTTTACAATTTTGTTCACAAATACTTAAAATTCATTCATTTTTTTGGGGTAAGTAATCTAAAAAATCGAAGTTACAAAATTTTCAAATAATTAGTATAGTTATAAATATTTAATAAAATTAGTAAAATATTTTTCTTTATCGAAGTTGAGAATATATAACCAAAATAATAATATGCTTAATTTAGGTAAATATTTTTGTTGACAATTAAAATATAAAAATACTTAATTGATATATTAAAAGTAATAAAATGCAATCTAAAGCTTCATTGAAAATGTTATATGATATAAGCAATGTATATGTACTTAAAAGTTATAAGGTAAAAGTTTTATATTATATACCTAAATTAATTATATAATTAAATATTTGTATGTAATTATATTTAATGGAACAATATGAAAATTTTAGAATGTTAAAAATTTTATAATTTTATAATTCCATTTGATTATAAATTTGTATCTCCAAATTAATTTCCACCACAATTTGAAAGCTTGATGTTAATAAAATTAAGAAAGTATATAATTTAGAAAACTTAAACCTATACCTATTAAAATAAAATAAACAACACAATAATTAAGAAGATCTTATAAATTATAAAAACATAAATTAATTTTAAATCTAATGAGATATTTCATCACCAACATATTTGATTCATATTTTATATTTAAATATCAATTCTTATCATTTTTTTTTTCATTTTAAACTTATTTTATTAATGATTGTAATTATTTTTAATCTAATATTTTTATAACTACTCTAAATTATTTTTTAAAGCACGTATTAATTTAGTAAAATAAATTATTTTAGTAATGAATAAACTCAATTTTTTTTATTAGGTGCATTGGATCTAGTAATACACTAGTATAATTGAAATGATCCTATTGTCAACATAACCATAACGTCGAAGATTGCTCCAAGTCAAGCATGCTTAACTTTGGAGTTCTTACAATTGAGTTACGGAGAAGGAGGCTGCACCTTGTTGGTATAGGCAATGACTATCAATTCTTTTAAGTCTTTCAACCATTCTTCTATGGTCTCAGGATCCTTCTCGTTCGGATGTAGTATCACTTCATTCATGTACCCCTCCTCTCTAGTTGGGCGTCACATTAATGTTATCGACGCAGGAGATCATGACAAAATTCCTACGTCACCATTATTAATAAAATTTGGGAAATTGCTAGCAAAAATCTTTTATGTATTTCAAAATATGTCACTTGTTTTCTAAATTTTCAATTATACCAGCAGTATATCAGATCCTCATATCAATAATATATTAGATGTATATCACATACATATTACACAAACACTCATATCAATAGTATATCAGATATATATCACATACATATTGTAGGTATATCAGATACTCATATCAGTAATATCGGTAGTATATCATATGTATATGATATATATATATCGGTAGTAAGATATATTATGAATATGTTACAGATGTATATCATTTGGGTAAAGTTGTCATTTTAAAATTGGACATTCGTTTTTTTTAAGCTGCTATATTTGAAAAAACTAAATGTGGTTGCTATTTTACTGATTTTACTAAATATTTTTGTCATATTTGCAAATGTCCATAAAATTTTTTATGGAATGACTAAATTGAATGTTTTTCATATATTAAAAGTTAAATTGAGAATGTTAAAATATTAGAGGTCAAATTTTGATAATTAACTAAATACTATTTGAGATATTTTAATTTTAATCAGACTTGAAAATTTTCTCAATTGATTAAGACATGTTTAATTTAACTAAGTTCGAATTATGCTAGGGGTAAAAAAAAAATTATTTAATGAGACTTAGACGGAAAGGTGATAAGCTGTCACATCAAGCTTGCTTTTTCGCAAGAATTGGAAAATCATGGGAATTGGAGGATGTTCGAAAAATATAAAGATTATATGAAGGATTTCGTTGCAATTCGGATTGTAGTCTTTTCCTCAAACGACACATATATGTAGATTTTATATCACATCAGTGAAATTATAAAGTTAATAACTCTTTTACCAAATAATAATAATATTTGGGGCACCTTCAGGTGTTGGCACTCAAGTCTGTTTAAGAAGTGAATCGATCGGTCGATTCCGAGCCATCGACCGACTTATCTATATCTATATCTATACTATATTAAAATGGGAGGGTATTGGAAAAACAATTTTCGATGTTTTTATCCCTTACTTAATTTATTAATTTACAAATTATACAATTAATAATTTATTATGAATATTAAATTAATTATTAATTATCAATAATAATAAACGTATATGATCTAAATAAGGTTAGAATGCAAAAAGTTATAATACAAAAGGTTTTCTACGCCATAAAATTATATTATTTTCTTTAGTTACTATTATAAAAACATATTTTCTTTCATTAATTTTTCACAACACTTAATTCTCTCAAAACATTGTTCTCAAATATTATTCAATCTCAAAATCATGTCGGTGGCATATCTATACTATATTAAAATAGGAAAGGAACCGACCAATCAAATTATCTATATCTACACTATATTAAATTGGGAGGATCTTGGAAAAACAATTTTTGATGTTTTTATCCCTTCCTTAATTTATTAATTTACAAATTATACCATTAATAATTTATTATAAATATTAAATTAACTACAAATTATCAATAATAATAAACATATATGATCTAAATAAGGTTAGAATGCAAAAAAAGTTATAATACAAAAGGTTTTCTACGCCATAAAATTATTATTTTTTCTTTAGTTAGTACTATAAAAACATATTTTCTTTCACTATTTTTTCACAACACTTAGTTCTCTCAAAAAATTGCTCTCAAATATTATTTAATCTCAAAATCATGTCGGTGGCATATCTATACTATATTAAAATAGGAAAGGAACCAACCATCCAACTTATCTATATCTATACTATATTAAAATGGGAGGATCTTGGAAAAACAATTTTCGATGTTTTCATCCCTTAATTTTTTTATTTACAAATTATACCATTAATAATTTATTATAAATATTAAATTAATTACGAATTATCAATAATAATAAACATATATGATCTAAATAAGGTTAGAATGCAAAAAAGTTATAATACAAAAGGTTTTCTAGGGCCATAAAATTATTTTTTTTTAGTTACTACTATAAAAACATATTTTCTTTTACTAATTTTTCACCACACTTAGTTCTCTCAAAACTGTTGGGTTTTATGTCCTGAAATTCATAATTTGAAAATGCCAGATATACTTTTATCTTTCAATAAAGTTGTTATTGAAGGTTTTAATCAATAAGTAGTTATTGATCCAATAAAATGTTCTTACTAGATCTAAATCCAATAAAATAAARGATCCTAGACTGTTACCTGAGACTCAAACTCTATGTAAGAGACATAAATATGGATCAAGTTTGAGTTAACRGTCTAAATGGTCTATAGTATAGGAATAAGGTTGGGCGCCTTATTCTGGGGACACTATGGATGCGGCCCACTTTGTAGCTAGTACAAACGATGTGATCTTAATTCGTTCATGTGAAGACATGCGAGTGGGGGTGTCCCGTGCAAAGAGTTTGCATAAGACCGGACCATGAGATAGTCACTTTTACTTTATAACACCGTTTACTGTTTGAAACTGACTATCTCGACTTTGATGACCTAGGTAACTCGATCTTAATCTTGAGCTAATTATGAACTTCTGTTTACTCGGGATTACCCTTAGATCTGCATGGGTGAGAGCAGCTCAACAGCGCTGACTCAATAAGCCTCCCATTTCAGGGGTAAGACCCGGTAGATAGCTAGGGACATAGGGTGCAAGAAGGAATTCACTTCTACCCAATTTTGAGAATAGTAGAAAGTTTGTTCTCTTAAGGGCTGAATCCAGGTCTTGAACAATAGGCGCCACCCTCATCAAAAGGATTGAGAGGATTTTTGATTTGATAGTTGGACTACAAATCATTGTTCATTAGAGGATCAGTGGGACTTAAGGAACAARAGGTAATTACAGGGGTAAAGCGGTATTTTGACCYAGCTGTAATTACGAACAACCTGTGAAGGGTCGACTTACCGATCATGGTTATATCAAATGGACATAATATATCTACAGTGAGGAGAGTGCAGCTACGGGCTTTAGTGGAGTGACCCGGTAGTTAACGAATGTTGGTTAACTAGGTTAAAGAGTTTATAATCTGTAGGTCGATAAGGTCTCCTGGCTAGCTCATATAGGAATAAACTTGGAATAATTTGAAGGAATAATTCGAATCGTACGGATTAGGTTAAGTAATTGATATATGGTATCAATTTGAGAAATTTGGACAAAATATTTAAATAGGATTTAAATATTAAAATTATGAATGCAGATTCATAATCGGAGGCATGAATTTCATCAAACATGGGATTTTGGAAAAAGTCAAATAGTTGACTTTGACCAGAGAAAGTCAAAGATTGACTAAAGTAGATTAAAATAATGTTTTTAACCAAGTTGGTGGAAAATTCCACTAACTTGTTGAGTGAAACATTTAAATAATCTCAAAAATCCACTTTTTGACACTTAGCCATGCATGCATAAGTGGAATGTGTGTTGTAAGCTTTTTGTGAACTTAGACATGCATTTTGACACTTAGCCATGTCATGCATGAGTGGAATATGTGTTGTAAGCTTTTGGTGAACTTTGACATGCAAGAGTTGCATGTAATTTGCTTATTTAAGAAAGCCTTTGTTCAAACATTAAAAGTCTTGGAACCTTTGGCTATTTTTTTGAAAAGCTTACATGACTCATTTTAGCTCCACTTTTCTCTAAATTTTTCCTTCGAGTCCCACCACTCTATTCCAAGCCTTGAGAATAACTAGGAAGATCTGTTGGTGGTCCTTCATTGGAGCTATTTGAAGATTTTTGAAAAGCTACAAAGGTTTGTATTTTTCTCTACTTATCTCTAAGCATCATAATGTATGAGATGCATGTTTAATCCTAGGTTGTATTATGCATCTAGATTGTTATTTCGATTCTTRCTCGCTTCCGCTGCGCATGCATGTATATTATCCATAAAAAACATTGCTCTCAAATATTATTCAATCTCAAAATCATGTCGGTGACATATCTATACTATATTCAAATAGGAAGGGAACCGACCGACCGACTTATCTATATCTTATACTATATTAAAACGGGAGGATCTTGGAAAAACATTTTTCGACGTTTTTATCCCTTCCTTAATTTATTAATTTACAAATTATGCCATTAATAATTTATTATAAATATTAAATTAATTATTAATTATCAATAATAATAAACGTATATGATTTAAATAAGATTAGAAGGAAAAATGTTATAATACAAAAGGTTTTCTGCGCCATAAAATTAAAATTTTTTTAGTTACTACTATAAAAACATATTTTTTTTTCACTGAATTTTCACAACACTTAGTTCTCTCAAAACATTTCTCTTAAATATTATTCAATCTCAAAATCATGTTGGTGACATATCTATACAATATTAAAATGGGAGGACCGGATCTCGAAAAAACATTTTTAGACATTTTTATCCCTTCCTTAATTTATTAATTTACAAGTCATGCGATTAATAATTTATTATAAATATTAAATTAATTATTAATTATCAATTATCAATAGTAATAAAGGTATATATCATCAAAATAATGTTAGAATGAAAAAAGTTATAATACAAAAAGTTTTCTAATAAAATTAAATTTTTTTTCTTTAGTTACAATTCATATTAGATAATTTCAAAAGTTTTGTAATGTTTTATCTCTTACTATTATAAAAAAAACATATTTTCTTTCACTAATTTTTCACAACACTTAGTTTTCTCAAAACATTACTCTCAAATATTATTTAATCTCAAAATTATGTTGATGGCATATTCATCAAGTGATAGATAATACATGTGTCGAATCTATATCTTGAACTCAAGGCTTGCGACGTTATCGTTCCATAATTTATAAGGTTAAATAATAGTGATTGTCAAGCTTCAGCATATTTTAGATTGATGTATAGCTAAAGTTTGATTTTTCTTCTGTTACTATTGTTTTTTTATTGTTCTTTTATAATTAGTGTTTCATGTATTTAGAATGTTTTTTTTAGAAAATAATAATAATGTATTGATCCCATTACAAGCTTATGTTGATTTTGTTGAAAAAAAAAATCGTGCAATGACATCAAAAAGTTTTTAATTAATTATAAATAGTAAATTAAAAAATTAATACGATAATTTGTATGAAATCTAAAGATTTGGGATATATAACCTTTTATTTCTTCATTTTCCAATAACATAATATAAAGATTTTTTTAAATAATTTTAATAATTTTTTTATTATAATGGGAAGTTAAATTAGTATGAATTAAAATATTTAACATATAATAAAATGTTAGCTTGAATTTTGTTTAGAATTTCTAATAAACAAACAAAATATTTTTAAAAAATGATGGTCCAAAATTAGATAAAATAACATTTTCAAAAAAAAATAAAATTTAAGTACAACATGTGTGGGTGAGGGATTAAACTCAGATATATATCAATTATACTGAACTATGCTCGTTCGAGTCAAAATAATGCAATTTAAATACACTCATAAAGATTAAATGATTAAATTAGTAAAATACATATATATGAAGTTTGCTTATATATATCTTAATTTTCTTTTTTGTTATTATTGTTATTATTTTAGTATTAGTAGTATTATTTTTCTCATTTATTTATGTTATTATAAATTTAAGTTAAATTAAAAATACTCTATGCATTTTCACGTAGTGTTTAATCAGTGAAAAAAACAGAAGGAAAAAACATCTAAAGTGGGAGAAGAAAACGAGAGGGAGAAACAAGTTAAACAAGAGGATATTAAAAAGAAAAAAATAATAATAATAAAATAAAAGAAGATAATTGCTAATAAATAGCCACGTAGGTGGAGGATTATAAAGATTAAAGAAGAAAAAGTTGTTTCACGTGAAATAATTTCTATATATATTTATTTATTATTGTCATTTTCCTTTTTACCCCTCCTGTCCTTTCCCACCTACGTGGCTCTCTAGCAGCCGTTATTTCTCATCAAAACTTTTAATTTCTCTCTCTTTTTTTCTTCTCATTATTATTTTCTCGTTTCCTCTCTCCACCTTCTCTTTCTTCTTCCATGGTTCTTCCCCTAATAATAATAATAAATAATTTTACATATGTCCCTACGTTCAATCATTCAAGTCAATTATTGAGTGTCAATTATTGAGTGTTTTATTTTAAATATTTAAAATGGAGGCAATCTCATAAATAATATAAAATAAATATGTAATACATAAATATTTAAAATTTTATAGAAATAACATAGTCTAAATCAAAGTCAAATTCCACTGTAAGGTAAAATATATCCAGAAAAATAAAATTTATGTAATATTTAAAAAAATATATATTTTGCGAGATTAGATTTATGCTTTACTATAAATTTGACTTTAAATATGTGATGCTATATTAATATAAGCGTAACTCAGCAATTAATATATATTTATACTTCCGGTAAAAAGTCGCATGCCTTCTCATATATTGTGATGTGATAAGTTTACGGTAGTGTGCTTTGTTGGCTATAGATACTTATTATAAGTTTAAGAACTAATGCTGTAATATATTTTCATAGCAAGGTAAATAAGCTATAGTTTCAATTTATTATAATATTTGTTGTGTAGTAAACATGTGATGTCAAGATTTTAGAAAAAATGCTATAAAAAAGCCTATTATATCATTATTGTGCTAGCTATTATGCATATTTTTTTTTCTTGGAGTAAAAATTCAAATAAATTTTATATTATCCACATAGTTAAAAACATTAACCTTAATTATAGCTCAAGGTTTAAAAATCCCACCCAACCAGTCTAATACCAATTTTTGAAGGAAAAACATGTTTATATTAATTGATCCATCTAGAAAAAAAGGTTCCAAAAGTTAACAAGGTGTTGGTATTCGATTTCTAAATTAATTATAAAAATAATTTAGGGTTTATGTATCCGGATTCTGTTTATTGTTTTTAGATTTATTAAGATTGTTTTTCAAATTTTTTTTTCGGAATTTTTTCATCTAAATAGTGGAATTTCTTAAAACAAAATTTGTATGCTTCTAGTATTTTTAGATTTTGAAATTGAAACTTTAAAATATAGAATTATATTAAAAATATAAAAGATTGGATAAATATGTTATTTCATGTTCTAAACTGATTTCATTTTTGTTAAAATTAAAACATGTAAAATAATATAATATATTTTAAATTATAGAATATTGTAAAATAATAATTTTAGCTTCAATATTTATAACACAAGGTTAATAAGTTAATTAATATTATTTTAGATTCAACTAAATATTTTACAAATATAATAAACAACTTAAACAATATTTTAAACTGAAAATATTTAATTTTTAAATCTACTATAGCACTGAAAATATGATTTTTGTTCTCAGATCACTAACCAAATTAATCCTTATTTTTCCTAGTCCAATAAAGATGGAAATATTTGAACCTTAAAATGCTTTAGAGAAATATGATAGAATGCATAATTTGTTAAGATTAGAATAGAAAGAAATCAGATCAGAGATAATATATATTTACATAAACCCTAAACAATAAACATGAAATATTTCATATTTCATTATTATATTATATTATTTAAATGCATAATTTTTTATGTGAATAATTCACATCAACCATTCCTTTCTCATAAGTAGGACCTTTGCAAAATCATGTGAGTTCTAGTTACTCCACATTCATTAAATATTTCATATTTCATTATTATATTATTTTAAAAAGTTTATGTTTTTGTATTTTTCTCTTCTAATTGTCAAATATTTAATGRTGAAGAGGACAAAGTTTCTCTTCATAGTTGAGGAGCGCCAAGTATTTTCCTTCCAAAAAAAGATTTTTTTTTTACATAAGTTTCCTAATTACTACACGAATTGAAGTCATTTATTGTGTGTCTCGTGATCTCTACATATTTAAGCATCATCACAATAGAAATATCGCGAAGCGATCGAGGAAGCTTTCTATATCCTTATGGACTTTTTATTTTGAGATAAGATACTTTAAAAATGAAAGATAAGGGGAGTAACATTAAAATAATTCACACGAGATTATAATTTTGGGATTATAAAAATCCACGTTTCAGTTGCAAGCTCTCCATATATAGTGCAAAGTTTGGGATGTTTGGAGCAAACTCATCAAAAGAATTTTGAAGGAAATCAGTGAAAGATATGAAGGGGCCTGTCTTCATCACTTTCCTCTCACTTCTGTTGGTAAGCAATTCCATTCCTCACTCCTGCATTTTACTTACAAGATCATTTGGTGGATACACATCTAACCATATCCATGTGAAAAGATACACTCAATTATACATTTTTCTACATTAATATATACATATATTAAGTTATATCATTTTTGAAATCCTTTGATATTTCTTTCTATCCCCCTTTCTGGTATCTAGCTTGCAAGTATCATAGAGGCAAGTCGAGAGCCGGGGAGAAACGAGGTAAAAGAAGAGCCATTTCCAGAAGCAACTCATTTCGATTCAAAGCCACTTCATGCTGAAGGGGAAAAGCCTTTTATTGAGGATATAAAGCCTCAACCAAACACTCGTGATCTGTATTGGTATGGTGATAATGTAAAATCTCAACCAAACATCCATGATCTTTACTGGTATGGTGACGATGTAAAGTTACAGCCAAACACTCGCGATCTCTACTGGTATGGTAAGGATGCAAAGCTTCAATCAAACGCCCGCAACCTCTACTGGTATGGTAAGAATGTGAAGCCTCAACCAAGCAACC